TCCTGTGTTTGTGAGTTTTATTTTGAATTCCTTGCCTTCTGTTTGACCAGAGTTTCACCTCTTCCTTTCTGTAATTTCAGGCTGCCCGGAGCGAAGGTCCAACAGTGAACGAGGATCTTGCCGATAAAGATGCAAGAGTAAGAAGCTGACGATTTTTTCGCTTCCTCTTCCTCTTCCTCTTCCTCTTTTTATCGCCCTGCTTCCTTTGTCGCTGCACATACTCGTTGGATGCCTCAGTTCTCTAATAGACCCTGACTGAAGATGTCATTCTCCAGGCCATGTATGAAGCGGGTGAGAAGAGGAAAGGAACTGACTGCTCCGTCTTCATCGACATCCTTACCAGCAGGAGTGCCCCGCAACTGCGCAAAAGTGAGAGCACTGCAAGCTTTTTTTCCCTTTATACCCTAATGGAAGCATTTTTAAGTCAACCTGTGTGTCTTAAAGGATGCAGGCTAATTTACTCTGAGTAGCATACAGAACATGATCACATGGTTATTATTTGCAGTATCTTTTTAAACTGATGTTCACGGCTCTGAAGTAGTCACCTGAATAACTGTTTTGCTCACACTAGATGATCACATTGCATCCTGAGTATGTGCTAAACTTCTGGGTTTTTTTTTATGTAGCACCTATAAAAATTCCTCCTCTCTGCAGCGTTTGAAAGGTACACAAAATACAGCAAGTCAGACGTGGCCAAAGCTATCGACCTGGAGTTGAAGGGCGACATCGAGGCTTGCCTGATTGCCGTTGGTGAGCAGAACCCACAGCAGTGCTACTGTCAGCATGTTCAGATGACCTCTGAACAGCTCCACAGATGTACACAGCTCTCTGTACAGAGTGAAATGTCTTTGAGTCAATTTTATCTAGCTTCTTTTTGTCCTACTATGGTCTCATTCTTGTAAACCATGCAAATTTTTATTGTTTTTTTCTTTTTTTAAAATTGCAACATGCATATTTACTCAACAAAATAAGCAGCACCCCATTCTGTGTATTATATAAGTAAAAATGCCTAATATAGTCACAGTTACAATGTATCCAAGAGAAAAACCAAGATCTTTCATTTTTTTGTTTCCTGTATATAGTGAAATGTATTGGGAACAAGCCTGCATTCTTTGCTGATAAACTCAACCTGTCATTCAAGGTAAAGTATAGTGATGTTTTCTGTCGTTCCCATATCAGTTTTGTTACTCCTTTCAGCTCTGAAGTATGATCACATGAAAAATACTTTTCAGAAATGTCCATAGCTCACTTAGGAGGTTTAGGATGTTGCTGTGCAGGTTTTGAAGCCGCCTTTCATTTTAGAAGTGCCTTAACACCTTAAGTGCATCTGCATATGTGGTCCCATGTGTATGTTGGTACCAGTGAGGTCACCACATTGTTGCAGTGAATTCTGTTTACCATGATATGCATTAATTACCTGCAGCTCCTATATTCTATGTAATTCAATGCAGTGCATCGTTCATGGAGGATGTTCTTCAGTGGTCTTGACCATATCATGATTGTTTCTCGTGTACCGCATTCAGGGATCTGGCACAAAGGCTAAACTCTTGACTAGGATCATGGTCAGTCGCTCCGAGGTGGACCTGAAAAAAATCAAGGAAGAGTACAAAAAGAAATATGGGAAGACCCTCTACCAGGACATTTTGGTAAGATATTCCTTGGATTATTAGACAATATCTTGATTCACACTTAAACGCATCCATTTGAGAAGGAAGAAAATATAAACTTTTGGATGTAGAAACGAAGTGCAGACTTATGTTCTTATGTCTTTTTGTCTATAGGATGACACCCAGGGTGATTATGAGAAGATCCTGCTGGCACTTTGTGGATCTGACAACTGATTTTCTTTTGAGTGGGTTTCTTAATCCTGGTCTTGGTGACTTTGTTCATTTTAAGCTGAATGTCAATTTTAATGTTCAGTGCACAAATTATTCAATTATGGGAGCACAGGCACACTTCAGGAAAATGAAAGAACTCTTGAATTTTCTATTTAAAAAAAAATCAATGATTAAACACTGCAGGCAGATATTCTTTTGAAACTTCTGCAGTGACTGGCATAACTAGCAATAGTTCTACAGCCTATTTAGGGGGGCTACCTGTGTTTTTTGCCTCAGCCCTCTGAAAAATGCTTTCTCTAAAACCATTTAGCAATTTGTCCTGGATTTTCATATACATTTCATACTCCCGGCTCAGCAAATTTAGCATGGGGATCTCCTCCCTCCTCTTGGCAACTTTAATCATGAGGGGGTGACGCCCCATATTTGTTCAGGGAGCTGAACCTCCCCAATAATGAAATCCTAGAATAGCCCCTGGTTACAGGTACTGTTCAACCAGCAAACTTAGCATGAGCAATTTATGAGAGTGAGCCTTCAATTAAAATGTAAGCATTTGAACTGTACCTTTCATTCAGCATGCTCAAACTGAACAGAAACATTATGAACAAATCACAACTGAGAAATCCTGATCAGAATAAGGCTATTTGTATTACTTTTCCTATGCTATGTGTACGCACAACACCCTTATGTATTAGCCAGGATTGATTAATAACTGGGATTCTTGTATGCAAATAAACACAGCTTTAATAGCAATGATGTCTTCCTTTGTTATAAAAGGCTGTATTTTATGCACAGACCTAATGAAATACTGCAACATGAAACACAATTAATGATGTAAGCCTGTTCTATAGAAAAGGTTGGAAAAAAACCACGAAAGCCAAATAATAGGTTTGTGAATAAAACAGGACGTCGATTCACTTGCTATACAAGCTGACACCTAATAATTAAGTGCCATCAAGTTTATTTCTCCAAAATGTCTTGTCTGATAAGTGAATAATGATCAGTAAGTTATGTATTAATGAACTCATTAAAAATGGCTAACACTTCCCAGCTATTAGATAACATAAGTTCTACTATTAGAAATAATGCATTTTCCTACTTGGATAATGTCACTTCAATCTTCTAAAAAAATATCTAGTTCCTACTTGGACTTGTGCAAACCACCAGTCAATTAATCACCAAACACACCAGTCACAGAACATGCATATACCTGCATCGATCCCTACGTTAAAGAATGCCCATTGAGCTCTATAAACTGACCTGCCAAATTATAAGTGCTAATATTAAAAATTGAGAAATGAAAGACAAATCAATATAATCTTTGTTTCACCAGTCTTCCAATGGGTCAAGGATGAATTATTGGATGTAAATAGCATTACATTATAATTATATTTTTTTATTGTTAATATTTTGGAATATTTTGCAATTTTTATAGCTGCAATGTTGAAGAGATTTGATCACAGGTCGTCAGGTTGAAAACTACACATCACCCCTTTTCTGTCAAGGCCACGATTGTGTCAATAGTGAAATTCAAACATTCAAGCAACAGGTCAGAAGTCAAAAGATAGTGAGCTACTAATGATTAATTACATTATAAACACTCAGTTCACAAAAAATATGTATACTAAATATGCTATATACTAAAAAATAGTATACAGTACTGTGCAAAAGTCTTAGGCAGTCCAAAGAAATGTTTAAAGCTGTTTATCTGGGTAGCAAGTGTACTTTGGCTTAGAACAAAAAACACAATTTAACATTAGAACATGCGCAAATTAAAGAGTAACACAACAAAAACTAGTAATAATTTCTTCTGTTTTCTAAAAGGTTACTGACATCTAGTTGGATGGCTAGGTGAACACCGCTTCAGTTCCCAAACTTCTCCTCAGGGGCACCTCAGCCATTCCACGATTTTGTTAAATTTCACCAACAGCTCAATTAAATAAATAAATTGGTTTAAAAAGTCAGTGACAGATTGACTAGCTGTATGAGGTGGGCTAGTGGCCAAGTCAAAAAATACATGGCTGCACTGGACGGTCGCTGCAAATACTGGGGTGATTTTAGCAGAGGTTCTGAAATGGCTACGCTGACACACTTTGACAGGCATAATATCGTAGTTTTACACCAACACGAGGATAATCTAAACATAATTTTCTTTGCCTGCCTAAGCCTTTTGCACAGTACTGTATAACCTTAATTCAGTCATAGTATTTGGTTTATCTGCATGGGTAATTTATACACAGCTATTTTGGTGGCTAGCCAAGGAACTTGTTCCTAGATTGAGGTTGCCCATCTAACCAGCCTGCTGGTACTGCCACCCATAACATACCCAGCTGCAACTTTACTTTCTAATTTGCTTTTATTTCTAATTGCAGTTATTGAACTCATCCGCGGGGTGAATACTTTGAGCACTACGACACAGCTATAAAACAGAAACATCTAACATTGATTTTCAAGCTTTCATACACCTACTGTGATACAAGAATTACCTGGCATTAAATTGCCCAACATGCTTTAAGCGATTTATCAACTGACAGAAATATTATACTCCTGACATATTACTTATACAACAATGACAAATCAGGCAAACAGGGCAGCTTTATCCAAACGTCTTACAGAGCTCTATATACAATATATTGGCAAAAGAACCTCAGTGTGACTCTCCCTTTATTAAAATATGCACGTTTGAGGTACTTTTCAAGTTCTTGTTAGATAGCAAATGCTGCAATGTTTAAAACATGAAAATATGCATGCAAAGTAACAAACTAAAAACAAATCAGAACCAATAGAAACAGTAAACAATCCAATGTCTATGATAAATTAATGTACTTGTAGCTAATGTTTCTAATAGCAGAAAAAAGTCTTCGATTAGATGTTCTACTGTTCATGTAAAAGTTTCCATTTAAATTTATTATATTGATTCACTTTTGGTTGCATCTTGAACTGTGCGGAGGATTGGCATGTTTGCGGTGAGTCAATTGCTTAACTTACAAAGAGCACAAATAAATCAGTGGCTACATAACCTTTGCGCTCAGGATTGATTCAGTGCATAAATGGCAGTTGTCAATAAGATTGGCTGCATATGACTCATCAAATATTGACAACAGATTAAACACTGATGAGTATATAAACTCCGACCATAGAGAACAAATTACCCACCAAACAGTACAGCTGACTGGTAAGTTCCCATTTATTAAGATCATATGTATTTGAGATTTATACATTCGTTTTGATTTTTTCACCAATAATAAATTATCTGGACAATAAGTATTCATTATCCTGTGTTTTTATACAGGTACTGAGATGAGGTTGCTCTTAGGTTTCTGCATCGCTTTGGTGGTGCTTCACTTTCCAGTCCAGGGTGATCACCATGGAGACCATGGCGCTCATGGGAAGGGCCACGGCGGGCATTCACACGAAAAAGGGCACAAGCATGAACATGGACACCATCGCCATGAGAAACATGTCAATGGAAGCCTGAGGATATACCTGCAGAATGGCGGTTTTGCTTTTGACCTGTACAAGCACATGACCGCTCAGCCTGACCTGCAGTCCAAGAACGTGTTCTTCTCGCCCCTGAGCTTGTCGCTGGCCCTGGCTGCTCTATCTGTGGGGGCTGAAGGGGAGACACACCGGCAGCTTTTTGACGGCTTGGGTTTCAATGGGACGGATATCACGCCAGAGGAGGTGAATGACGCCTTCCATGACATCCTGATGAATCTCAACCAAAAGAAAGCTACAGATCTCTCTGTGGGCAGTGCCGTCTTTCTGGACGACGACTTCAAGCCTCGGCCCGAGTTCCTAGAGGCACTGAAGCGTTTTTACCACTCTGAAGGATTTACAACTGATTTTACCAAGAGCGCCGAGGCCAGACAGGCTGTTAATAATTACGTAAAAGACAAAACACATGGAAAAATAGCCGAATTGGTAGACAGTGTGGAACCCAGTACTCTGATGATTCTGATTAGTTACGTGTATTTCAAAGGTAAGTGGTTAAAGTGACTATCCTATATTGACTGTGCTGGTGTATATGCTGTGTTGTGTCTGTGCATGCTGAAATTTCCATCCATCCATCCATCCATCCATCCAGACAACTGCTTATCCTAGGTTGTGGGGGATGCTGAAATACGTTCAAATCATTATTCTGTATTCATTTTTTTGTCATCTCAGTCTGTTGAGGCCCAAAATGTTTGTGATGGTAATCTAAATTTTGTTTGATTGTTTTGACAGGAAAGTGGGACATTCCATTTGATCCTGCTAGTACAGAGGACAGTGTTTTTCATGTAAATGAAACACATGACGTTCCTGTGAAAATGATGACTGAGTCAAACAGCTTTTATATTTACCACGATGAAGAGCATTCCACAAGCGTTCTCCAGCTGCTTTACAATGAATCCATGTCAATGATGCTAATTCTCCCTGAAAAAGGCTTGGAGGCCTTAGAGAAGGTATTCGACGGGAAACTTGTGACAAAATGGCGCCGATCATTGAGAAAGATGTAAGTGTTATTAAATATTTATAGTCTATGTATGCTGTAGCATACGTAAACATTCCTAAATGTTTAAATAATGAAAAATAATCTTCATTTCTGTAGGCCATATAAAGTGTCGATTCCAAAATTTTCTATCAAGACATCATATTCACTGAAAGAAGTCATTGCTGAAATGGGAATCACAGACATATTTAGCCAAACTGCCAACTTTAAAGGAATCTCAGATGATCAACTGTCGGTTTCAAAGGTAAGAGTGAACTGGAAAGCCGAAATGTTTTTAAGGCACTCCAAATTAAATTTTTCTAATTCAGTCCAAATATTCATGCACTTGGAAAAATTGTTTTATGCTAGCTAATCTGCTGTCACATGACGTTTTCTCCCACTTTAACATTTGTTTGTTACTAGAGGTGGATAGCTCAGGTCCATAAAGTAAAAATCCAGACCAAGATTTTTCAGATGAGTATAAAGCCCTCCTATTCAAATCTGGCCCTCGATTCCAAATTTAGGCCTTGTTTTCAGTTCTCCCAGGTAGTTAGTTTAATAATTAATAATTAAATGATTCTGATTGGCCAGAGGCTTCACACCTGACTCACAGGTAAAGGAAGGCTGGAAAATCAGCAGTGCTAGGCCTTTGAGGACCGTGATTTGAATAGCCCCGGTATAAAGAGTCGGGTTGGTTGAAACAAAATCTTGGTCTGGATTTTAACTTTCTGGACCTGAACTATCCACCTCTGTTTGTTACTTAATTATTAATGGTCAATGCCTAACCTGAATGTGAAACTCATTTCAGGTTCTTCAAAAGGCTACTTTAGATGTCGACGAGGAAGGATCCACAGCAACCGCAGCAACATCCGTACATCTTATACGAACCTCAGGACTTGTTCCACCAGATACCCTGAGGTTCGATCGTCCTTTTGTTGTTATAATAGCAAACCGTGATACAAGGAGTATATTATTCATGGGTAAAATTGTAAATCCCACAAAATAAGATGTGTTTTTTTTCTGGGCAGTCCTTTTACATCTTATTCCTTCTTTGCATAAGTTGATTATATGATTTTTACTACATTCTTTGTCAGCAGTTGTATCAGATTTGTCCATCAAAGCCCTTGTCAAACCATTAAATAAATCTTTTGAAATAAAATAATAAAATGTGATTAGTGATTTGTTCTTCTGCTGACGTCTCTAAGGATGACAGATTTTACACTGTGCATTTTTCCATTATTACAAGAGACATTACATTTTAATAAACCCCAAGATAAATAAGGCACAGTCACCAATATATTAGCCTATGTTAGATTTTGAATATTGTTTTGCGTGTCACCATGTAATTTCATACAGGCAAATACATTACCTTTTAATCACTAACAAATAAAACATGACTATGATCTTACAAATGTTTAATAATTTTTGATGCATTACTTGACTCTGAAAACATATTACATACATACATTCAGCATGTATCTGGAAGTCAAAGCCCATGCATTCAAAAGTTTTACTGCAAATAATAATGTTACTTGGTTAAGTGTACAACTCCTTAAACATAATATGTAATTGTAAATACGCTTACATTTCTTAGATGTGGGTTTGCCACAAAACCTTATGAAAGATAATGGAATAGAGTGAATAGACAGGATTCAGGAAACCAATAGCTACTTCATAAAAGCTGTTGGTCTTTCTGTGGAAGAATTGTCAATTTCAGAATGATACAACAATGATTAGCTCTGAAGAAGACTCAGCTTTACAGCAGGTGCCAAGGAAATGCCTACTCGAAGAAGCTCAGTCTGATTTAGCTGATTTTTGGCTGATTTAGATCATGCACAACAACACTCTGGGGATTCGGGAGCAATGTGAAAATTGGAATTTTACAATCAAAATACCACTCTTTAGCCTTAATACTAATTATTACCAATACTAATACCAAACCAGGCACATCACTCCATCCCTGCTGCAGTGCAGCTATATTGGAAGTTGCTTCAATACAATTACTTATCAGAAAACATGGTTAGTCACTGGAGCAATTCCACGGTTAAGGGACTTGTTCAAGTGCCTGACAGTGAAATCACTAAGCCAACCATGAGATTTCAACTGGCGACCTTCCGGTCACAGACATGTCAGAGCCCTTACCCATTCAGCCATAAATTGCTCCCAGAGAAGAAATTTGGCCAATAAAGGAAAGCTGTGCAGAGCCAAATATTGGGACTCCTTGACTGTGGTAAAAGTCATAATCATGATTATTTTGGGCAATATTGAGATCACGATTAATGTGCAGCGCTCCGGTGACCCCACCGGGTCCATGCAGCACATGAAATGAACTACTGTACTAGTCACATCATAGGTACGAAGTACGGTTTGATGTTTGAACAACTTGACACTCGAACTTGTTTTATTATCAGTTACCGACATTTTCTTTTGAAACACTTAAAATGTTTTATACTTGGTGAATTTTGGATGTTTGGGACGGATTAATTAAAATGACGACTTATTATTTCTTATGGGGAAAGTCGAGAGGCTTGTTTTCCTGTTTAACCAACACGTTTTATTGTAATGTTTACTCTGTTAACATACATATGAGAAATAAAATGAAGCTTGAAATTACCCTTGAACCGATCGATCGCGCTCGAAGTTCGACGGTCCACTGTACAGTATGTCGGCGCATTGACTGTAATGCGGCAGCGGGCCGCGGGAGAAGTAATGGCGCTGCAGAAGGCAGCTTTGCGCCGGCGTACAAAACGGCACTGGCTGCTTCCCTTTAAAACTACCGTCGGCGAGTCATGCAGGAAGTACGTATTCAAAACACAGAAGTGAGTCCGATGTGTAGCCGGCAAGGCGGGGAGGATCCGTTAAAAACCAGCGCGTGAGTACCTTAACTTCTTAGCTTGTAGTTTAAATATTACCGTGTCCATTTTTAGACCGAAAGTGAACCATTGGCTATGTGAAGAATCCATAAATCAGACGTTTTTAAGACATAAATGCGTACAAACTACGTGACAGCTAGGCGTGACTGCACTACGGTAAAGAAGATACTGTATATAAACGCTACAAGTAACCCAAAGAATAGTTAATAAAAACTTAACGGTATTATTTTATGGTAAACTTGTTTCCTTATCTAGACATGACGGGCCGTAGCGTTTTCCATAACAACGCAAATTTAAAGTCGTTTATGTAACATTAATTTATGCGTTTAGGTAGTTTAATACAAAGATTATAGTGAAATTAATGTTTTTTTTTTGGCTTAATGAAGGACGGATGTTACGTGGTTTTAAAAAGTAGCCAGTGCCTATGGTTAGAGATAAAAGACGATGCGGTAAGCAGACCTATTTGCAGGTGCATTGAACGCAGCCTGGAAAGGTGTCATCTACTGTGTGGAAAACCACTGTATTGAGATAATACAAGCTTTTTATAGTACGCGGCAATATTTGTGTTACTTATGTATGTATGTATGTATGTATGTATGTTAGGGTGACCAGATAATCCATGTCAGGGAGGACACTTTGAGCTACTTCAGGTTTTACAAACTACTTTCAAATTGAAAGGCTCCTGTGCTCGGCTAAATAGTTCAGCTCTTCTTGTGCTTTGACTGGTTTGTTTCGTTGACTGAAAGACTCATCCAGCTGTTTCACATTAGCATTAGTGACACATGCATGATTATAGGAGACTGACCAATCAGCACAAAGCAAGAGCTCAGTGCTCAAGTGAAATTCGGGTCCTTTTAATTGAAATGGTAATTTACAATTCCTGTCCTAGCTCAGAGTGTCCTCCCTGACATGGATTATCTGGTCACCCTAATGTATGTATGTAATTTTTATAATTTGATTTATCATTTTCTCTTTCCCAAAAGCGACATGAGATTTGGTGCTCGCCTCAAACACCATGAACTTCAAACTCCTCTTCTTGTGGCTCCTGTACTTCGTCCAAGGTCTGCCGCATGGCTTGCAGTCCTCGCTCCTGCCTATCTACCTAAGATCTTCTGGCCTTTCTTTAACCAGAATCAGCCTAACTAAAGCTCTTTACTTCCCATGGATACTCAAAGTACTGTGGGCGCCCCTTGTTGACCAGGTGGGCACTAAGAAGAGGTGGCTGATGGGTAGTACGTCGGGCCTGGCCTTGGTGTGTCTGGCCAGCTCTGCCCTGTCTCCCGACAGCCACTTTCCCATGGTCATCATGGTGCTGCTGGCCATGAACTTTCTGGCGTCCGTGCAGGACATTGCCGTCGACAGCGTGGCGGTGCAGCTCCTCCAGCGACAGGAGGAGGTGGGTTATGGCAACATGGTGCAAGTCGTGGGATACAAGATGGGTTCGGTGCTGGCCGGCGGGGGTTTGCTGGCTGTCATGGACATCGTGGGCTGGAGTGCCATTTTCCAGGTGCTTAGCTGCATGTACTGTGCGGTCGTCTTGTACATTGTGAGGACTCCATTTCTGAACAAATATCAAATGAACCCACATGATGAGAAGAGGTGTCCAATTGGAGGACTCAACCCCTGGAAAGTATGGAAGGAACTGATGACTGTGCCTGGGACCCTGTGGACTGTCATTTATGTCCTCATTTACAAACTAGGTAAGTCTATGAACTTACATTTTGCCATTTTAATTGCCATGAAATGTAAAGTGTGGCAATGTAATTTTAACAGTAATTTATGGTTTGTTCCTCAGAGTACCTTTCAGATCTTTTAATTCTCATTTTCACCACAAGGTGTAGCTGTTGCCATGCCTCAGTTTTTCCTTACACAGAGGAAGTTGCCTGAATGAAAACTAACTAAAGGGCATGGTCTACCAGTTCTGAATTTGCTACTCTGGGTCAGTTGACTCGTAGTTTCACTTGTTTCAAAGGGACATTATTTCTCAATCCTTTTTAAAAAAAAAAAAAAAAAAAAAAAAATCTGAGTCTGTGTGAACAGCTGTTTATAATCTGCGTTGTATAAACTCATAGCAGATCGTAGTGAATACTTGAATTAATATTAACATTTTCTGGTTGGCAGCAGAAGGGGATTATGTAAGGATTACAGTTTCTTTGTGTCTGCCGCGTTTATAGAGATGAGAGTACACAAGTGCAGGTTTCTACAGTAGCGTTATTGTGTGTAATCGGATGAACCACAGACACTGACAGAACTAGAAGCGACGTTTCAAATAGGAGACATTTCCAATCTGTCCGGAGGTTCCTAATGGTTCATCAGCATCAATCATATCTGAATATTTTGAATTTTAAATCAGTCATCTGCTGTTTTTTTGTTAAAAATATATAATGTAGTCCATACTGAAGCTTGACTTAGGTTGATGTATTGGATACTCCAGGCTTAGGGTAAGGAAAGTAATTGTGATTTTACAGATCGCCGAGCTGGATTGGACCAATGGTGTAGGCCTGTAGGGTTTTTTTTTTTTTTTTTTTTTTTTTTTTTTTGAAATAGCCAAATAGCTCATTCCTTCCACTTGCCCCTGCCATAATCACAGATCTGATTCTTGAGTTTAATTAAAATACCCAGCCAGTAGTCATACGTATTAAACGATCTGGGACACCCATGCCGCTGACCCCCCCCCCCCACATGATTGGAGGCTGGAGTGATGTGATGCCTGGCCTGGGTCGTCTGAGGCAACGTGGGAGCACGACGGGCAGGAGGAACTTTTCCCTGAGAAGGGTCCAGGTGGATGGGTTGTGGGAGTGGAGAGGGTTTGGAACGAAGGCGTTTGCCCCTCTACTGCAGACCCCATGGGGATGTGAAGCAAATATTTTCTAGAGGGAATGAAGAGAACCATGGGGAAACCAAGGGAATGAATTAATTACTAAGCGCCACATGGCAGCATGTGTGCCTCCTGCTGTATGGGCCTCATGCTGGCGAATGAGAGACACCCGGGGGCTGCTGTGGGCATCTCAGAGCAGCAGATAGCCGTCAGGTAGCATGACCGTTGCACACGGTGTGTGTAATCTCCTCGTCCAGCTTTATATATGTCTGTGTGGCTACAATTGTAAATAATGTTAATAAGCACGTGTAATTGGTGACACCTGTCGTCTGCCCTGTGTTTCTGTGGCTACAGTCTTGCCCTGAACCTGTCCTGTATTAGCAGTTATAGATGGGTGCATGGATGGATGTGCGTTTTATACAGTACATCCAACGTGTTCTGTTGTGACATTCCACTGTCTTCAGCTTGTCTGACCAACGGTTAGGATATGTCAGCCTCGTTTTTGATGGCCTAATCAGAAACTGTATGTGAAGCCATTAATCTGTTAAGCAGATGAGATCACAATGCGAAGTTTAAAAAAATAATTCTGTCACAGAATCAGAGGTGCATATGTAGTTGATTTTGTACATAAGTTTATTTGGCAATATATATACCATCTATATTTGGTGTCTTGGATTTACAACTACTGTTCAGAGAAGGCACATAGTGTTCTAAGTGCCTAATGAAAAATAACAAAATAAAACTTTTAATACTATAGTGCAATAAGACAGGACATTCAATACATTTTGAAAGAATGTGGATTGGCATTTCTTTTAAGGCAGTCTGGTTTCACTTTTAAAAAGTTGCCCGATATGCATGCTGTGAATGTTATTTTGGCAGTTGTCTTCTGTTACCTCCCATTGTGCATGAAATTCAGTGCTTTCATCCAGTTTAAACACCAGCGTATATGACAAAGTGCAACTAACATATGCTACATGTAGTATTTGTAGTATTAAGTTTTGTTCCAAAATACGTTGTTGCTTTGCTACACATATTATTCATCTGGAAAAATGTAGCAAATCTCAGTTTCTTATTTAGTGTTTCATCTAACAGGTGTATCTTTAAAGAGTTTATTGAATCAGTCCTTTGCATCTGGTCAGCTGCAGATTTGGTACTTTTTTTTTTTTTTTGCAAAATTCTGTTGTTCTTTCTTACAGCTCAGGAAAGATGCAGCCCAAAGTATGTCTTTTTCAGGCATGGCAGTGGGTTGGGCTGCAATTGTTTATGGTTTAAAATCTTTGCTCCTCTTGCCCTGTGACCCTCACAGGCCCCCATTACTCCCATTACATTAGGCCCTTTCTCCTCTGTCTGTTTCCTCTTGTTTTCTTCTCCAAAGAACCCCCCCCCGGAATCCAATAAATACAATTATTTTGTGTAGCAAACCTTTTCTGCAGTAACTGGTTTAAAGACTAAAGTAGCAAACGAGCCTTAGTCCCTTGGTTCTGCCTCCCAAGCCCAGGCTACTGACTCCCCACCTCCACAAACTGCTTCTGTTGCTTGGGACTGGGGCCACAAGGCACAGTTTGATAATGCTGGTCCTGGGGCCACAACCACTGCACATGCTGATTTTCGTTCCAGCACTGATGTTCATTAATTGCGTTTTGATGTGAGGTGGTGCTTAAATTCTGAGTATGACACATCACAGTGTTTTCTGCTAGTTTTAGAGGTTTGTTTATATTGTATACACCTCACAATTAAGAGATTTAAGGTAGGTATTAAGCAAACTAATGAATAGTTAAATAAATTATTTGTCTCTGGCTGCCTAATTGTTCACAATCCTTTGAATGAGGGTATAACAAGGTTTAAGGTATTTTAGTTCGGATCTATACTCATTTCTACTGTTGTATCTGAGTAGCTCAGATTCATCAAATACGCAATATTCCACTTTTGTCCTCACTTTTCCTGAATTTTTTTTTTTTTTAATATATTTTTTTTTTTTACTTTTTAAATACTTGCTTTTAAGATATCCTGTGTTTGTCGAATGTGTTGTATAGAAAGATGTGTTATATTGAGTGATCCAGACAACGTAAGGAATGAAGTTTTTATATATATCTGCAAACCATCAGTTCATCATAGTACAGTGGATTCGGTTAGCTTTCACACATAAAGGAACTCTGTAAGTGGTTTTTAATCTTTGTGAATACGCGCAGTCCTTCAGTATGAAAAACATCTTCTGTGCTCCATTCACGCCCCGCCGAGGCAGTTTGGGTGAGCTGAGTTAATGAGTGTGGCGAAGGTCGCGGTACTTTTCGTTACATCCTGGATCGACTTTAATATGCGCTCCTCCTCTGCTGTTGTCATGCTGAGAAGGTTGGTTTGGGATTTTTCAGGCTTTGTCAAAAACAAAACAGTCTGATGTATCATCTTGACTTTTGTCTTTTTGTACAAGTGAAGCTTTCCGGGACAGTCTGTGTCTTGTCGTGTTCCGGCAGGGGTCTCTGAGCTGTCGCTCAGACGGCGGGAAGATCTTAAGTCGCGCTTTCTGAAGGTAGTTTCCTTAAATAATTATAACCCTTCTAAATATTTCAAAGTTTATGTGGTGAAAACAATGATCAGTAGACTTGAGACGGCACAAGTGTGCCATCACTTTGCCAATCCTACAGTTTGAGCCGAGTTTGATGACTCTTTCATGCACTGTTTCTAAACTTTTTTTTTTTTGTAATTAGATATTTTCATTATTTATTGTTTGTCCATGTGTAAGCAGAAATGCAGAAACGGCACTGTCACATGACCACATTCTTGCAGTGGAGGGAATTTGACAGAAGTTGGCAAGAATAGTTGTTCTGTTTTCAAATCTGTACTTGAATAAAAAATGAATTTCCTTGCGTTACATCAATATACCACAATAATGCAATTTTGCAGTATTCTGTGTATTTTATGCATACATACATGTAATATAAACTAAATATATATTTTGCCTGCTTTCCCAGGATAATCTTATTCTGAGAGCTCAAAGATGTCAAAAGAATCTGTTTTGGGTCTACATGAAAATCTGATTCTCTATATCCGAGTCAGGTTCATGAACAGTTATGAACAGATTTCTTGCTGTATTATTGCAGCTGTGTTTTTAGGTTGACTGCTGGATAATGGTGAACAATTGGCAATTCATAGTTTAATTTTCTTCCCATTTCACTTAATAAATGCAGAGAATTTAAGTAAAATAAGCAGCAGTAGGCAATAGTCTAACACTGTCCCCTTAGAAACTTGGGGAAAATTTCGAGGAATGCATGGAAGTTGTTGAATCAAGCAGTGATGTTTCAAGTGATCATTTGTGTCTGTATCTGCTGCTTTCCATCCATAATCCAAAGATAGGCAGTTCTGCTAGTTGGCTTTTATAAATCGCTCATAGTGCACGTGATTTTCTTTGCATGTATGTGTTTCATGGTGGGTTGTATCCCGTCCAGGTTGTCCCCCTGCTTTCAACCCTCTGCTGCCTTGGATAGACTCCAGACTTACTGCCAGCCTGAACTGAATGGGAGGTTGGATGATGGATGATGAATGAATGGATGGGGCATTGGACTGAATGACTGATAGGCCCTCTGTGTCTTCTCCTTGCAGGTGAACAAGGTGCTGTGACCATGTTTCCCCTCTTCCTTCTGGACCATTACATGAGTGCCCGGGAGCTGGGCATCTGGAACGGAATGGTGGCCATGGGTTTTTCGGTGTGCGGCTCCTCTGTTGCCGGGATACTTCTGGCCCGGCACAGGTAGTGCTCACCTACGCTTTCTGTTTTGACGGTCATCAGTTTGTTACATTCCTACCACCAACACTGGAAAGAGAAACCACATCCAGGAGTGTATAATAAAATGGCATTAATAACCGTCTGAGGTGGCACAGTGGCTCAGTGGGTAACGCATTCGCCTCACACCTCCTGGGATGGCAGTTTGAATCCCTCTCCTACTGTGTGTGGATTGAGTTCCCAATATGTTTGGGTGTCAGATTCCTCATTCAGTCCAAACTTAGTTTCTCCACATTACCTCTCTACCCCATCCTATCCTTAAATTCAGCTCTAACTATTGTTCTTTTCAGTTAATTAAGTTTGCAGAGTAACTTTAAAACAAAGCCCTAAAGTTCTTTACTAACAATTACTTATCACCGCATCAATGTAATAAACATTTGAGCTATACAAGAGAATCATAGTCTACTGTGTTCATGCTGTACTTGGGTACCCTGATACATTAGTCTTGTATAAAGTTTTTTTTTTTCTTTATTCCAAAGCAGGTCATGTTATAGTATGACTCCGTGTACCTGATGTTTGGTATATTTTCTCATATAAATTCTGCATTCTATCATTATTACGTTTCAAGTCATTTAAGTTTCAAGTTTGTTTTTTATCACATGCAGTCATATATTGTACTACAGTGTAGTGAGATGCTTTAATTGTCATGAGAGAACCCTGTGACTTAAGACTTAAGCCTGCGATTTACACCCCTATTATCTCCCAGAATAGCTGTACATAAACCTTACAGTAATGGGTAAGTGTGTAAAGGCTGCATCACCATATTGGCTCATATAAGCCAGGGTTTTGCAGTCAGTGTAATCCATGGAGTGCTGCTTGTACCCTGTGTGTGCGTGCACCTATATTCATTAGCACAGCTCATCTGTTTCTAACAGTACTTTGTACTGGATGTCGTAATTTAATGTGAACGCGATAGCCTTAGTTAGACAAGTGGCTGTCGAGTGTGGGGGACAGGACTGGAGGAAAGCATTCGCTTTGTCAAAGGCTCCAGTGATAGTAGTCCCTAACAAGACTGTCGAGAGGCGAAAGGTATTCAATTCACCTCCCATCTCTGCGGCTCTAGTTTCAGTTAATTAGATCTGTGTGACTGCATTGCATCTCTGTACCTCCAAAGCTGCATGTGTGCAGTGGTGATAAGTAGCCTCGCAAATAGAATAGCGCTTCAGATTCAGCCTGTTGTGGGATCGTCAATAGAAAGAGCCACAGACCAGACCCACCCCCCCCCCCCGCCCCAAACACAACACCAGAGTCCATAGCCACAGCAAAGTAAAAGTCCCTCTGGGACAGCTTTTCAAATTAAAGTAAACACAAGCCTCTCTCAGAGCTGAAAATCTTGTTGTGCAAGGTGTAAGGGCGAAAGTATTGATTTCTTTCACACGCTGAGCTGAAGGAAAAAAGCGTCCTTGGGACCTGTTTGCTTTTATACAGAGCTGTTGTAGGAAGGGGGATTCTCAAATACACTCGCAAGAGGAAAAATCTATATCAACTTTTTTGTGAGTGCACAATTTGAGGGAAAAAAGTCTTTGTACCTATGAAAAGGAAACTTCATTTTTTTTTTTTTATTGTAATGTTGAACTCAGATTCTTTTTTATCCCAAGATGCTTGTATCACTTTAATACGGCTTTTAATACTGAGATTTGCTCTATTTTAAATGGGTAATAAGAGCTATAATGCTATACATACTGCCTTGGCTGTTACCTGCGTAAAAATGCTGATATGCTTGCATGCTGCCTGCTGTTTGGGCTGCATTACACCAAACAAAGCCGCCAATTTCTAAACAGTTAGCCTTACGGCATTTATCATGTAGCATCTGGGACCTCTGAGAAACAGCCGTGTGTCTTGTTTTATCCCCCTTTTCATTTAGTTTGGACAAATACAGATTGCTAACCGTTCAGGTCTTTTGGTGACTAAAAAATGTACTTTGAAAATGACTTAACAGCAGAATGTGATGAGTGGTGGAATGCTAAATTTCACACGCACTGCCGCTTTTACCTGATAGCATGTGCATTCAGCCCAACTTCCTTGTCCGTGAGATAGAATTTCCTATTCATTCCCTCATTTGCTTCAGTTTCAGCCTGCTAAAAGCTAATTTGGACAGTTATACTGCCCAATCTGAGACCAGCCAAAAACTGACCCTCCACCGCCCTCCAAACAGATCGCAGCATCTGTAACTCTATAGTATCGATCTTATCTAGATCAAGTACATGTGATACGTCAGCGAGAGTTTGTATATGAATATCACTTTGTTAGCCAGAGGGAAATATGAATAGGTGAAGATGGGGAGGGGGGTGGTCTGGTTAGATAAATAAGACTGGTGAGTTGATTCCCTTTCCGGTTTTAACAGATTAAAGAAATTGCTTGCATTCTTCTGTGCATCGATCATTGGAAAATAAATAAAATGTTACTGTAATGACCTCTCATTTCCCTCATTCTACACGTTCTCATATCTGTAAAATATGTAGCTTGAGAATGTATTTCCAGCTCTCATGATGGCTGTATAGATATGTGCTTGTTCTTTAATGTTTACAGGAATGAAACAGGTTGTCAAAATGGCTTTTGTACACTCACTGGCTACTTTTATTAGGTATACCTGTTCAACTGCTCATTGAAACAAATATCTGGCCAGGCAATTATACATCAGCAGCACAATGTATAAAATCATACTAATACATGTTAGGAGCCTCACTTAATGTTCACATCAAACACCATAATGGGGAAGAAAGGTGATTTATGTAACTTTGAACGTGGCATGGTTGTTGGCTGGTATGAGTATTTCAGAAATTGCTGATATACTGGGATTTTCACACACAACCATCTCTAGGGTTTACAGAGAATGGGCCAAAAAGAAAAAAGAAACATCCAGTGAGTGACTGTTCTCCTTCGTCTAATTTGCCTTGTTGACGGCAGACATCAAAGAAGATTGGCCAGACTGGTTCAAGTTGATAGAAGGCCAACAGTAACTCAAATAGGTACTCATTACAACCAAGGTATGCAGAAGAACATCTCTGAACACGCAATACATCGAACCTTGAAGGAGATGGGTTGCAGCATTAGAAGACACCAGGTGAAGAAGGCGAAGAATGGGATAGATTTCTTTTGCAACATTCGTATTTTAGGGTTAGAGTTTGGTGTAAACAACATGAAGGTATGGATCCATCCTGCCTTTTATCATCAATTCAGGCTGGTGGTAATGGTGTGGGGGATATTTTCTTGCCAAACTTTGGGCTTCTCAGTACCAGTTGCACATCATTTAAGTGCCACAGCCTACCTGAGTATTGTTGCTGATCATGTCCATCCCTTTATGACCACAGTGTACCCAGCCTATAATGATCACTTCCAGCAGGACAGTGCACCATGTCACAAAGCTCATATGACCTCAGACTGGTTTCTTGGACATGACAGTGAGCTCACTGTACTCAAATGGCCTCCACAGTCACCAGATCTCAATCCAGTTGAACACCTATGGGATGTGGAGGAGCAGGAGAATTGTATCATGAAGGTGCAGCTGACAAATCTGCAGCAACTGCATGATGCTGTCATGTGAGCATGGACCAAAGTCTCAGAAATGTTTCAAGCACCTTGTCGAATCTATGCCACGAAGAGTAAAAGCAGGTCTGAAGGCGTCCAACCTAGTATTAGCATACCTAATAAACTGGCAAGTGAGTGTATGCAAGTGTGTCTAAGGTCATTTAAGGTTTCTGTAATCTGCCTGTTTTGTTCATTTTTGGATGCATCCTAAGGGTCATTTATTTCTTTATTTTGCATTTGTGTAAGTTTAAGTATTCTGTTGTGAAACCCGGGTAACTATTAATCCGCAACGCAAACTTTTTTTTGTTTTTTTTGCCCGAGTGGTATCTTTCCGCTCCCTCCTTTGACTGACAGCGTCCAACTGGCATTTGATTGTCACTGGGGTAAATCGAGCGCTGGGGCAGATAACGACTGACTGACTGACTGTGAACGCGGTGTCTGATGGTCACTAATTGCCCCCGAGCTTAATCAGCCTGTCGTGGTGGGTCTTGTCGGGATATTGATTACTTGCAAACTCAACCCACCGGGGGATTTGCTGCTTTAGCTACTTGTGGGGAATCAATTAAACCGGCGGTGATTGCTGGGAGAGCTCACGTGTGGGTTTTTGTTAAGGGGGCCTGATGTCAGGCTCATTAGCAGGCAGCCTTTGAGTGGGGGTTTAGCTAAAGTGGGGTTTTTCTTTATGGGAGAGAGGTAGCAGCATGGGTGTAAACGAGGCTAAAGCCCCCTGGTTTTGCTCCGTGATGTGCGCACCCTCTGAATCGGATCGCATAAACCACAGTGGCCCTGCTTTCTCCGCAGCATGGGCTACCTGATGAGGAGTGCCTTCATGCTGAGGATGTGTAGCATGGCCTTCCAGACCGTCCTCTTACTCCTCTACAGCCAAGCTTCCCTGATGAAAGGTAAGGCAGGGCCTCTGCATTTCTCCATACCCGGGAGTGGTTACGTCAGTGCTGAGCCACTCACGAAGGATAAAAAAACCCCAAAAAATAGGTGAACTACCCACAATAACCACTTCCATAGCTGTGTAGTCATAGAGTCAATTAGCCATTCTGCAGTGGCTGCAGTCTGCAAAGATGTCACCCACTTGTACTTGTGATTGGTCCTGAGTAATGACACAAAATCCCACCTTTATCTCTGTAGATGATTCTAGATGTTATGTTCCCTTTTCAGTCCCCCGCCCCCCCGGGCATCTGTTTTACTCTAAGTGGCAAGCTGTGGAAGGAAGATTAGTGAAAACAAAATATGCCTGTATCAATAGTTCTCACATTTCCAGGCCTTCTCTTAATTATATATTCGTCTTCAGATCACTTCTGCATTCACTGAATAAGGACCGTAGTACCATTTTCCCAACAACTGGTGCATAAGACAGTAGTTAGAACAGCAGAAATATATATTGAAATAAAATATGTAATCTCATTATCCTAGTGTTTGTGCCTGCAAGGTGGAGATATGTTGTGATACTTCCCTCCCTCGCACAGGAAAGCCTGTTTGTCAGCCACTCCCCCATCACTTTTAAGCATGTGGGAACGTGTGAATCCAGCACGCTAGCCTATAGGCAGTGCCGCATGCCACCCGCATTACATTCCCGCTTACTTAAGGCACTTTCTAAAATGCGCTCTCAGCCAGGGAAGATCGCATTAAAGCAGCGGGTGTTAAATTTGTTCTGAAAGTTCTGCTACATCTTGTAGAAATTAGTTTTTTCGATTTCCATGCAACGCTCTCGTTAGTCTCTTTGAACCCGCCCCCCCTCCTTCCCCTGCCGCGTGTCTCCGGCACCTCGGTAGTTGCCGTTAACTGAAAGAGAGCGCCGTTCACTTATTGGTGCTTTGAATGTTTATTTTATGAAAAGGATTGACGCTGAGTTGTTTGACTTTGTTTTCACACCTCCCTGAAGCCTTTCCGGCTCTCTCTTATCGTGGGGGTGCGTGTGCGGGGGCCGTCACTGCTCCTGCCCGACTCACACGCACCCGAGAACAAAGGGGCCCCTGGTTTCTTCTGCTATTTAAATATTATATGAGGCATCCAGCCTCAGATGAGACGGGTTCCATATAGCTCATTTCTGGATAAGTAATGGAGAAGTCTTGTTAGGCAAAACTAAACATCGGCGCTGAATTATTCAGGGAACGCTGAAAGTCAAAGGCAGTGGCGCTTTAGAGGGAATACATGTTTGGCTGAATAGGACGAGACGGCACTCATTTGCGGCCCTCTGCTTTCTTCCCGGCTTCTTCTCCCAGCCGTGGATCCATGCTTTCGTTGCCTTTGTTGCCTGTTTTCACATGCCATTAAGGTTGCCTCACCTGCCAAAGAAAACTAGTCTAAAAGCTTGCTGAAGCACTGGGTAAGGATTTTAAAATGGGAACACGCAGCTTTCTGGCCCCGGCCGACAGAAATCAGAAATGTGTTCGTTTACTCTCTGTGATTCGCTGAGCCCTGAGACGACCATGATCTGGGTTTTGCTTGTTTCAGCACATCTGCTGGCCAGTTTAAGCATTTCCAGCTGCCGTGACTGGAGTGTTTTTAACAAACTGTTGCTGAATCCCGGATAGTGACTGCAAGCCCCCCCTCCCACCCCCTGCATTAATGAGATTGTTCCTCTAATGTCACGTTACTGGAGTATCTTGTTACACTCCACCTGATTGAAACCTTAAAATTCAGAACTATATTGACAAGGTTAATTCAAGGTTGTAAATTCCTAACCAGATTTAAATATGAACATTTTAGCATTTGGATGTTTTGAACAATGTTAAGATTTCCATATTCAGCATATTTTCTTGGGTAATATGAAACTAGTGAAGGAAAGTCTGTTGCTTCAGGGCTTGCATCTCCCTGAACCTAAAGCACGGTTTGCCAGTTCCTGTCCTGGAGGGCCAGTGCACAACACCGTTTGCAGATTTTCCTGCTCAGACACACCTACTAATTCTGGTAATTAGCTGAGTAAGATTTGTTTGAGCAGGGAAATCTGCAAACTGTGCTGGATTCTGGCCCTCCAGGACTGGAGCTGAGGAGCCCCGACCTAAAACCTTTCCCTCCCTGTCATCAATGTGTTAAAAGGTGTTTTTTTTTTTTTTTTTTTTTTCCCCCCAGCATAAATTAACAAAGCTCTCTAATTTTGATTTTGTCTTGTAGCAACTGAGTGTGTCTCTTCCTCTCTCAGGTGCTGCCATACTGAGTTTGTGTGTTCAGCATTTTCTGGGTGGACTCATCACCACTCTCACGTTTACCGCCATGATGAACTGCACGCAGAAAGCGGAGGAAAGCATACAGGTATGGCTGTGAACCTGGGACACAGACGACGTGCAGGAACACCCCCGTAAGACAGAGGGTAGTGGATGTGGGATAGATCCTAACACCCCTGTAAACCAGAGCACACCAGGTGGGGGATAGGTTCAATCCCTCAAGCATTTTAAACTGAATTTATTTCTGGAATGAACTGAAGCTTTCAGTCCGTTCCTGTGATTAATAAGTCAGTTCGGTGTTCTTGGTATCAGTTGAATTTTATATCGCGTTCTCAATTCAGAGCTTCTTCACAGCGAGATATTACAGGAGATCACTTTGCTGGGTCGTCTGGTAAGTCCCTGCCTTGCTGAAATAGCACAGTAGCATTTTAGATATTCAGAAGTAGTATTCAAAAGCCTTCAGTCAGTGACTTTTAGAAGTGTTTTAAGTTAAAGATGGCAGAGAACACTTCATGTGCTTTTTTACACGTTTTAATGGGGGGAGAGAGCAATTATTGCCAGAATAAACTACAGTTTAATCATAACACAGATGCATTTAACAAAATATTTCACAGGTTGTGCCCAGTGATAGTAAGCCAATACTCTGTCCAGTCAGGGTCCTGCTAAATACTTTAAATTAGCCAGTGTACTCATACCAACGGGACTGGACTCTGACAGCTGAAACAGTATACAGAGCAACTGGTCGCTTTTTATATATTTCCAGATTTGTGTGTTTGTAAATAGTCCCTCGCCAACTATGTTGCAGCGCGTCATTCCTTGAGAAATGTCACACTACCTCTCCACGCTGAACTTTCGGACTGGCCGGCTGTCTTTGTCCATGTTGAGCATAATCGATCGTGCTTGTGATAGTTCTTAGGTGTCTTTTTCTTTCCTTTTCGTCGTGACGGCTCCTGGGTTGTTATGGGAGCTTTGCCACAACATCTAGGGCAGCCGTACAAGATTATGAAACAGTTCTAATTCATACCTCCACTAACACTTTCCCTGACTTTCTTTGCTAAGCTCCCCCTTTCCTCTCAGCTATAACTACTGACAACCTGCCCTCTGATTCCCACTAATGGGCTTCCAGATGTTCCCACGCATGAGAACTTGTTTTCAAATGGTTTGTCTTATCATTGAAGGGGTTCATTTCAAAGTTGTGCCCAGAAAGACTTCTCTCCTCTCATCATGTTTCGCCAGCTCTCAGCTGGATAATCAGTTATGGCTTTTCAAAGCTTGTTTCTTTAGAGGTCTTGTAGGCTTCACACGCTGTCTTTGGACCAGTTGCATTTGATTCTTTTCCCTCTCTGTAGAGCAGGAGATCGGGCAAATTCCAACAAATAACCAAACAAATCTGACCGACCTCTTTGAAGTGTCTTTAGCTTGGTTCTGTCCATTTCTTTTCTTTTGTTTTTGTCTTCATCCTTTATTTCCCCATTTCCAATTAGTTTTTAGCTTCCGTTCTTGCACATTTTTAGCATGGATGAGGGATATACGGATACCTTTTATCTGAAATGATTAGGGATGGTATTCACCGATTCCCATCAGTCTACTGGCTTAAGCTCACAATGCATCGGGATGCATCGTTTGTAACATCTTTGCATCAGTAAAATCTGATTTATTAATATATAATGCTTAATGATTTGCAGTACTTGAGACAGAAATGTGAAGTAAAAATGGAACTTTTTAAATTTATGATTTGCTGTCTGCTTAAGAAAAACCAGATAAATTCAAACTATCTGTACCACATTGAATTGAATAGCATCATATTGTTTTGCATTGCATCATATCATATGGAGTTTAAGTCAAGGGAGGTAATGCTAAGATTATACAATTCCTTGGTGAGACCTCACCTAGAATATTGTGTGCAGGTTTGGTCACCATATCTTAAAAAGGACATTGCGGCCTTAAAGGTGCAGCGTAGGGCCACAAGAATGATTCCTGGTCTTGGAGGAATGTCATACGAGGAAAGGTTATTTGAGCTAAATCTGTTCAGCCTCAAGCAAAGGAGACTAGGTCTATAAGATTCTAACAGGTTTGGATGCTGTTCAACCAAATAGTTACTTCAGCATTAGTTCAAATACAAGAACTCGTGGCCATAGGTGGAAATTAACGGGAGAACATTTCAAACTGGATTTAAGGAAGCACTTCTTTACACAGCGTGTAGTCAGAGTATGGAATAGTCTTCCTGATAACATAGTGCAAGCTGAATCTTTGGGTTCCTTTAAATCAGAGCTAGATAAGATTTTAACAACTCTGAGCTATTAGTTAAGTTCTCCCCAAGCGAGCTCGATGGGCCGAATGGCCTCCTCTCGTTTGTATAGTTCTTATGTTCTTATATTGGATTACATTATGATGAATCGAATCATGTCAAGTCACACTGCATCGCAATAGGGGTGAGTCACAACATTTCCCATTTGCAGTTACTTCATATATACCTTTAACATATCGGATCGTTGGCAATCTATTGAGATATGTATCACACCAGCCTCAGTGAGGGAGATACTCATCGCTAAAAATGATGTATATAGGCTGCATTTTTCATATTTTGCCACATCCTTAGTTTACTAATAGTTTCCTAATAACTCCTTTCCCCCTTGTTGTTCCTCCCACCCTTCTTTGAGTAGTGATATCAAAGATGGATGCCAGATGACACATTTGTACATGTAACTTCCTGATTTTTCCTTCTTAATTTCCAGGCCACTCACTACAGCTTTCTGGCAGCACTGGAGGTGATGGGGAAGCTGACCTTCAGTGCCCTGGCGGGATGGGTGGTGGACTGGCTGGGATTCCCAGTCAGCTTCCTTATCTTCCTGCTTCTGTCTGCTGCCGCAACGCTCCACGTCTGCAAAGCCACGGAGGGGGGGCAGCTGAAGCACCAGACTAGCTAACACACTGATTGGGGTGTGGTTGGACTGGTTGGAGGGGTGGAGTTTTCTGCTGAAGCTCTTCCTATAGGTGGCCTTCAATATGCTTCTGATGCATTAGGAACATCCTGATTTTTATATTATTTTAATCTAAGCTGCACATGCAATGAATAAAACTCTTTGGAGAGTTTTCTGTATTGTGGTTTGTGACAGACGGTTGGATTAGAGACTTAGAAGGCAGTTTGAGAATTATTACGTCTGTTTTCTAGAAGAACGAGAGCGAGGACAGCTCTCCCTTGCATGCTGTGTGTGTGTGTGTGTTACAGAAGGGATGCCAGCTTCCCAGTCTGGCCTGCTGCTCCCCCGGGCCACATTGGCCCTGAGGGGGGGGCTTCTCTGACAGCCTGTGGGTGAGACACCACATGGTTTGCCCCTCTGACAGCACTGAGCCCCCGGCCCCAAAGTTGGGAAGCTGCTAGGCTCCTGAAGTACTGCAACTTTGAAATTTAGTTTGAGGACCCATACATGTTCAGCACTGCCTCGTTCCGAATCCACTCTAACTGGCACTGCTTAATTCACTGGTTCTGATAATCCTGTGATTAAGGTGATGGCTCATCAATTTTAAAGCATGTTCTCAAGCTGCAGATAACCAATTAGTGAAGCGGGTAGCTGAGCAGTGCACCCACTGACTCCCACTCGTTATTTTTGCATTTTCACGCTCCATATCCCTGCTAATTCAAATGTTTTTTGCTTGCTGTTGGCAGACTGTTAATCTCAATTTAACAACAACCAACCATAAACAGGTAGTTTTAATTCGGACGGCTAATATTGTTGAACTGTTTAGAAGTCAAGCTGTTTTAGTGCACGGTATTTTTGATGCAGTAGGCATTTAATTATGCTCGGATGGTGCATGTGCAATTTCAGTTCGTAAAATTGCTAACCAGCTCTTCCCCAGTAAAGTATTGTTGGAAATTCCAAACCAAATTAATAATTGTTAAGTTTCTTTTCCTAGATGTTATTTATTAATAATTTAATATAACATTAAAGATTTTGCTTTGAAGGGTGGAATGCTCTTTAACTCGTTTTGCCTTTTTTCCCTGAAAGGTTTTGCTCATCGCATAAGCAAAATAACTTTTGAAGGACATAGACAACTGTGGTTAATTAAGGGGCAGCTGTGTCCATTTTCATGGCTCCCAACCACCAGCAGTTGAATATAACTGACTGACACATATCATTGTCGTTTGCACATTTACAGTTTTCAATCTCTGTTTCAGTTCCTTAGTCAGATTTCTTGTCACAAGATAATATACATCTTTATTCCCAGGATGTGACATTTTCATGCATGCCTCCACCTGTTCATTTCCTATAACTGCTTCTACATAAATAGGACGCACTATGGAGAACTGTCTTCAAATTGAACTGATGCCTTTAGACCAAGGGAGAAAATCCCATGCAGTTGGGGCTCTCTGCCTTTGAAGAAGCCGCTAGGACTGCATTCTGACCTGCAACCCTCAAAGCACTAGGATACCTGCAGAGGTTCTTTCCCAGTTCTCTAACATTTACTTTATATAGGCTTTTCTTTCTATAGTTTGTTTTCATTTATTAAAATTCTGTATTAACTTTGTAGTTTTGTATCATCTTGTACTATATAATTCTTATGCTAAGTGATATCACAAAGGCAGCTTTTCACAGTAACTGGCTGTCCATTCATTTGGATCAAATGTAGGGCTTGTTAGGGTGGTTAGTCCGACAGGAGCTGGGAAATGGTCAAATGGTCATAGTGTTTATGTTATATTTACTATGTACTTTTTAAAAACCATGTACACCTGAGTAGTTTAAGTCAGTCTGAACCGAAAAGTGAATCAGATGCTGGCAAAGCTGCAGTTCCTACCCTTCCATGACAAACCTCATCATGCTGTCCTCAAATATAAATGCCATAGGACTAGATCTGTATTGTATGAGAATATTCTTCAGTATTGACCAAGCCCAGTGATTTTTTTTCCATAAGTTCCCCGAGGTGGTACTATATGGCTGCTGGTCATGTACAGAATAGGGAACAAGACACCTTCCATAACCGCTAATCTGAAATGGTATTGCAGTTGAGCCTGGAGCCTTGTAACACACAGGACACCAAGCAGGGACTGCCAGTTTACACACAATGGGCACTTTAGAGACAATGATTTAGAATCAGGATAGTTTTATTATCCCGGAGGAAATTGTCTAAATTGATTCTATTTACCACAGGATGCAATGCAGCGTGAAGTTACAATGCTACCTACTGAACCTCCGCACTGCCCGTGTGCTTATTATTAAAACAGATGTGTGTTGCATTTCAAGTGTCAATATTCTGCGTCCAGTTATCAGTTATTGGAAATCGGCTAATGTAATTTGCATAGTTCTACTTTTTTGCAAGCATTGCTGAATTTGCAAATGTATGTTGGCCAATTTAATATGGAAAGATGTATCATTCTTTTATAATGTATAAAATTTTGCAGGATTTTGGCGTCTCTGAAAGATAACAATGGAAGATTCCGTTTCTGATTATTTTATGCATGACAGACTTGGAGAACAAAGTGATTCGAACACGGAATACTGCATACAGTTAAAAGTGGTAATGTAAAACTTGTTGCTTTGTTCCATGGATTGACATGAATCATTATTTGAATGATGTCACTAGGGAATTTCACAGTTGCTGCCAGTTTTGTTCTGGATATTTGTCTGGTGAGTGTTATTACGTAATTTTATTTATGTAAGGTTTTCGTTGTCGTGTACGGACTGACAGGATGTTCTCCGTGCATTTTTAGCTCCCAGATCTCTTCTGTCTCACATTGGCTTCATGGCTAAAATGCGAGCCTGCACAGAAGCAGTCAGTAATCTAATGCAAGCCATTTTGAGCCTTGCTGCAATGGGAAGGGTCCTTAATTCAAGATATTGCCAGGAGATTTAATACTGCGGTCACGAGACCCACAACACTGAATGCTATAACAGGAAGGAGCAAAGAAAAAAACAAAACGCCAAGCTTCTATCTGATAAACGGATTAACGGATATGGTAAAATGGCTCTCTTTGCCGAATCCTTGCCTTGTACTGTATTTGGTTTCTATTGTGGAAATGCGGGGATTGCAACATGTTTCTAACCATGCAAACAAAAGTGTTTTGTCAGCGCCTGAAGGAAAAGGTGTCGGTTTTTAAGTTGGCTTTGTGTTGAGGCCTGCAGAATGGGCTGCTGGACCCTTTGTCTTTATGGGAAACTCTCGGCGACGGTGCAGGGTGACTGCAGTACCTAGGCATTGGGTGTCTGCGCTTCCTCTCCTGATATTCAGACCTTTGTCAGTGCACAGAAAAAGAAATATCGGCATGTTTCCAGATCAGATCTATTTTCAAGTTCTGCTCTTCCCATCTCCTCCTCTTTTCTTCTCCACTGCCCCCCCTCCCTCTTTATTTGTTTTTGTTAAACTTTCCAGGACAGACCGTGTTCGTGATACTATTTAAAAACATTAAAAGTCACTCCACACTCTGCGGCTTGGCACTGGGTACATTGTGCAAGCTTTGAGGAAGCACACAGGCTGTATCACTGCAGCGCGTCATGTTGTGCAGGATTTCAGGATTTTGAGGATCAGATTGTTGTTTTTTTTTTTTATTATTTTCTAGTGATAGAATAACTTGAACAAAAACACCTTTTCCTTCCCTTAAAAGTAGGTGCACTCAAAAAAAAAATGTCTTATTCTGCCTGACTGTGTCTGGAGAAAACATTTGAAGAGAGCATACTTTAATGTAGCAGAAGACATGAAAAATCCATGTATTTTATATTTGTGTCTGTTCACAGTATCAGTTTCACAGGCTATTTACAGAATATGACAGCTTTGTTCTAAACTCCACCCAGACAGCAGAAATTACTATGGCAAACAGTAGATTCATCTTACCCACCTGCTTACTGTATAAAAGGCTTTAATTGAAGTTCTTTATTCTATGTGTGTAGGTCAAATTCAAGCAATACTGTATTGCTTATAAAAAGAAACCCTGAACCAGCTCCCAAAATATTTTCAATCTGTTCAGCATGTTATAGTAAAATGCCATGATTGTTATTTTGACATTTTATGACAGTTGGGGACGAAGATGTTCGTAAATCTTAAAAGTCATCGGTCTGAGTTTTAAGGTTTTGAATAAATAGTAATTTGGGGAACCAAAGTAACCAGAACATGATAAAAATAGCAGAAAGTAAAGTGGCTCAGCAGTAGTGGGTTGGGAGGAAGCACTGGCTTAGCTGCAAAGCACTCACACTGACCCTCAAGCGACAGAGATGTGACATGGACCTAAGGTGCACTCTACCTGGGCCGCCAGTGTACAAATGCCAGAACTGCCTGTCTTTCCGCAGTGTTAGGAAACCTTGGAAAACCTGCAAAGCCAGCAATCTATCATCTAATCCATATCAGTTTGTTCGAACAAACTATCTAGCTCAGGAGGTGATTTTTTTTTGTAAATTGTAAGTAGAATTGCATAAAGGAATATTTTAAAAACATATTTGAAAGAGCATATATCTGAAAGACTTAGACTGTAATTTAAAATAAATGAGTCTATACTGCAGTTTCTCTGTAATGTTTCTTTATATGCCATATGTGATAATGATGATTCGACTTAAGCATTACTGACAGCCTTTTCAAAAATTATGTTACCCGAGCTGTGATTTTACACTCTGTCAGACAAACTGTGACTTGTAGCCAGTTTCAATTCTGTCACAGAAATATATAGCAGCGTCCAAAGTTCTTATGGGAGATTGAATGAAGTCATCTGTCTTCCTGACCACAAAACATTGTACTACGATTTTTTTAAATGTTACCCTTGTCACTGTGTATTTCAAGAATGTTTAGATCAGCGCCATACATCTTAGATGAAGGGTTTTGGGATAAGTAGACAGTACAGTATATCCTTTTGCACCAAAATCTCAATTTAATTAATTGTTGACACATGCACTTAAATTCTGTTACTACTTGTTTTCTTTTAACAAATACTTTTGGAGGAATGAAAATGATATCACAAAGGAGGATAGGGCAAAAACTACTTTACATTATTTTACTGTACTACAAAATACATAATATTAGTGAATGGTAAACCAAGCCCTTTAAAACTTAAAAATGAAATGAAACACAAATGGAAAGAAGAGTTGAATCATTATGGGTAGTGCAACATAATCCATACATCCAACAAAAAAGAGAGAATTGACCTTGCATACCACTGACTTGGAATTTTATGTGTTGGTTGAATTTTTAGGGCAGCTTTTTGATAACGCCCTACTCGCAATATCAGGCATCGCATACATCAATTTTAAGTTTAAGTATTGTTTTATTTCAATTAAATATCTTCTTAACATTTTACCTTTTCTCAATTGTTTTTGTCTATTTCTCTTACAAACCATGAAGCATTGGTCTGCAAATACTATGTTAGTATGAGTAGACTCATAAATTAAATATGCTAGTTGATCTTTTATATGAATTGGGGGGGAAAGGTTTAATCATGGCAGATGTGTTTTTTCCTGCAGTTCGTTCCTCTTGTGGAGGTTTGTTGACTGTCTACCAACTTCTCATTAGTGCCTGGGGTTCACCAGTGACACATCCGCTGAGTAACTGGGCACATAATGTGACTAGTGTTTGTACCCTAAAGCAATGCCTCACTCAACTTTTTTCTTGCCGTGATCCCCGCTTTCATATGTTTTTATTAATTTTCGTAAACAACATATCTGCAATGAGTTAACAAGTTAATTAGATGAAGAAAGCAAGGAATATTTCCTGATTATATACAGGAATATTTGATATATTTCCTGATTATAACCTGATTTGTTTGTTAATTGTGAGGACGGATAATGACAACTTTGATTTTATTGTTGCTGCTAGGGGGTGGTGCAGTGGTTCGCATTCCTGCCTCACACCTCTAGGACCTGGGTTTGAGTCTCTGGCAGGGTTCTATGTGTGGAGTTTGCATGTTCTCCCCATGTCGTTGTGGGGTTTCTTCTGGGTACTCTGTTTTCCCCCCGCAGTCCATAAAAAAAAATATTGAGGTAATTGGAGTTACCAAATTGCCTGTAGGTGTGTGACCTGTGATGGGTTGGTGGCCCATCCTGGGTTGTTCCCTGCCTTGTGCCCATGGGCTCTGTACCACATCCCCCTGCCCCCCCGTGACCGTGAATAGGGTAAGTGGTTTCAGAAGATGGATGGATGTTGATGATAGTGATGCTTTAGACATGCGGAGCCATTGTGATTTGTCTTCTGGCTGATAGTGAGGTATGGTTTGATGCAAAGTGTGAGGAAAAGCAAGTCCACTCAGGCCAGCCACTGACACAAGGCAATGTGACAAGCTGCCAAGTCATATGCTCTGCTTAGTGAATCACTGCTTCCATGGCTCTCCAATGGGTTTCCATTGGGCTGCTTGGGTCTGTCTAGCTGTGGTAAAATGCCACCCCAGGTCTGCATGTTCTTTGATACTGTGGATATCATCAGGTTCATGTGAGATGCTGAAGGTAAGTACCCAGCATGTACCGGGCTACAGTGCACGTTATAATTCTGTGTGTCCTACGAGATACTTGCTTTGTCTTGTTTTTGATGGCATTCAGTCTTCAGCATCGTATTTGTTCTTCTCCGAGGTCAAGAGGGAATCATCACTCACTTGTACCCGTGCCAGTGATATATGGATGTGCTCAAAAGTTTATTTATTTAAATCCCAGAAGCTTTAAAACTGATTAGACATTAGGCTCAAATGATGTGGGTATGTTGCTTGGCAGGGAAGAGGTCACTGCATGCTAGAGAAACACAGATAGGGAAGTGTAAGCATATCTTCTGCGCACATTGAGCCGCTCTGATACAATAACACAGTAATTTATGTCCATGCATGTATACACATTATTATCCCATATATAAAAAAGAAGCTTGTTGTTCTTTGCAATCCTATTAAATGAATAATTCAGTTATGAATGTGTGGTGATAATGTATTCGAAGCATCTGCCATCTCCATATTACTAATGCAAATGAGAACAAACAAAAAATGAACGACGCTTTCATACAGGAAATGACAAATGCATAGCGTTAGCACTGTTAGCTTTTGAGTCTCTCGTGTCCATGCTTCTGTAGGAGCCCTATCCCCCGTTTAAAGAGGTGCTCATTCCACATTTTCCCATGGAGGTCATTGCATCGACTCATCCATGTTCAGGTACATAACCACAAAGCAGTGCCACCTTCCCAAGCATGATCAACCACATCAATCCTTCGACTCCTGTCATATCGCAGAGCTCAACCCAGGTGAGACATACATTTACATACGGCTACATTTATTTTTATAAACAAAAAACAATTACTAACAATCTATATTGTATCTCTACTGCCATGTAACGTACAAAGCACAAATGGAGAATTTTTCATTTTATGAACCTATGACTGGATCATTATTAAACTGACTGTTTAAATAAGTGAACACAACACAGTCTAACCAGGTGAAAAACCTACAGCCATCTATTTAGGTTCAAACATAATTAGGTTCTCATCTGTTGTGGTTTATGGTGATGAAAAGCAGCCAGTATGCTAAATTGGTAAATTCCATCTGGTTATACTAATAATGTTCTTCAGAGTCAAAAGATGAACACGGACTGACCAAAAGAACTGTTATTTAATGACATTTCTCAAAGAAATGTGTGGAAAAATCATTCTGCTGAACTTTCAAATGTGCTTGCAGGTTTTTAAGGTGCAAAACTAAAAAAGAAAAATCACAAATTTCAAATAACAGATCATTATTCAGGGACCAATCTAGTCTCTTTCAAATAAAACAATAACAATTTGTTACTTAAGTACAGATGAATAGAACTTTCATCATATCAGTTTCTACATTGTAGAAATGATTTTTTGCAACAATTAAACAGTATCATGGATGTTTAGCATGCGTATCAGTTTTAGGAATGACAAAATACATTAATCTTATGTAAAATGTTCTGCTTGCATGTGCCTGTTGATTGTGACAGGTTTTCTTATTTAATGGGCACTTCTTCAGTTTTTCTTAATATTGCACCCCAAAAACAAAGCTGTTTTATTCTGTTCTGCTTCATCTACAATTAGGTCCTGGGTGGCTGTTTTTGCCCAATCTGCCCAAGCATAGGCACAATTATACTTAAGAAAAAGGTCTAAGACTTCCTCCCTAACAACTCTTCCTGCTTCCAGCCTGAAGTACCTCATCCAAATAGTACAAGTATTGTTTACGTAGATGAAAACCACGAGGATCCTCAGAGAGAAGGAACAAGGCTTCCGTTGACTGCTTCTCTACCTGGCTGCAAGAAGCCGAGGCTTGTGATTTACACAATGGCCTTTCAATGCTGGACGCTGGTTTCAGACCAGTCTGCTTGTCATTGTCTCTGTTGACATGCAGCCAAACTGCTAATCTGAGATCAGATAGGCCTCCCCACAGACCAGGGGCGGTTCTGCTGTTCATTGAGACTGAAGGTGGGAAATTGGATTTGGGGAAATCAATGGCGCGACAGGTGACCGCGCTCACAGCGGCCTGACACCGCCAAAGAGAAAGGAAAGTGATGACGGAGGGGAATCTGAGCGGGAAGGATTACCTTACAAACATGCTGCAATCTTAGTAAGTGCTGTTGTGCAATCGTGGATGCGCTAACCCTGGGGTTTTTATTCCCAGTAATACAACAGCAGTGTTTAAACTTCTGCCTTTGACATGCCTTGTGTGATGTAATATGAGGACTTACCTCCTTCCACATGCAAAGCTTCTAGATCAAATCAATAAAGCTGAGATAAGGAAAGAAGGCAAAGCCTTTTGCAGATGTCCCTCCTGTGTGTATGTACATTTAGGGTGTAATTCATACATATGTATTGGCGATTTTTTTTTTCACATAATGTATTATACATGCAGAAAGACAATGCTCAAAGAAAGTCTGGGGCCTCTTGCTTAATTCAGTAAAAACATTTACTTTTTGTTAGAAAAATAAAGATTTTGTTGTTTGCTAAAAATATTTACCGCATTAAAAACAATCAGTAATTTTAAGAACAACGTTCATTTTGAGTACTAATTAACTGAAAACGAAATGATGGTTCTAAAAGCTATTATGAATAACAAAGTTCATTAATAAGCAGCCTCATTAGGTACTTTTTAATTAATAACACCTTTGCAATAACAAAAAATGCCAAACATTTCTGTAGTATCCCTTTGGGAGCTGGAGACTACAACTGCAAATTCATAGCAAAAATGGCAAGAACAGAACTGAATGAGTCAGTCAATAAAAAAGAACAATAAAAAGAAATTCTGTGCAAAAGATGCAGATATGTTAAACATTGCATTGTGAGCATTGTGTGTGTGTTTGTGTTTGTCCGTTTTACATTAACTTGTCTTGTTACAAAGGAAACAATGAGGAACGTTGCTCAGAGTGTAGCAGGCAAAAGGTGTTTCTTTTTTGCTTCCCTCCTTAAAAGGAAAATGGGTTTGCAGATTGTATTACAGATAGCGCTTACAGCTTGGGCAGGTACAAATTATGTACTTAGGAATTTAAATGGAGCAGATTGAGGCAGAGCTATGGAGTTCTGACTGGAAACTTCCAC